AGCTACAGTTCTGGTTATGTGACCATAGGGTCAGCGGTTCTAGCTCCAGCTTCTCCAGTCCACATGTCGAAGTGCCCTTGAGAAAGACACTGAACCCTTAGTTGCTCCTGGTGTGCGAGTGTTTGTGTGCTAATAGGAAATAGTGTAAAGTGATTTAAGTGTGCTTCAATGTGTAGAAAAGCACAAAGTATGGATAAGAGCATGTCTGTGTTGTTTTAAGTGCATTCTTGTTGTAGTTAAATGTGGACAATGATACTTAAGCTGCTCTAAAAGCTTTACATTTGGTCTACTCTGTCAAACTATCCCGAACCATAAAACTAAATCGGCAGCTCATTCACAGCTGTAAAGTTTGCATTTACACTTAACTTATACTGCTCATCATAAAACAAATTAAAACATTTTTAGTTGATAAGTGACCAACTAAACATGGTTGTACTACAGCCAACATTGTGCATCTACTTCATACAGATGTACACTATACAGAGAAGAAAATAATGGGACACCAACGTTCCAATCACCAGAAACTTTAAATGGACCCACAATATGTACAATGCATCCATGGTGACTTAGTTTATTTTTTCTCAACTGGAGAAGACTCATTTATCTTTATTATGTAATGCCATTTGTTTCTATTATATATGTAATTCATTGCCGATTTCAACTACATGTGCACATTACCAGGGATTGAAAGCCATTCTGAGAAATTCAGGAAGTCACACCATGAAATAAAAATAGACAATGTAGGCTGGGATAAAGTGGGTGCATCAAAGTCATTTACACAAATTCATCTCAAAACAACACCTTGAACTCACTGAACATCTGATTGATGATATATAAATGTAACACAGGGGGAGCTGAGCCTTTTATATCATTTTTTGTCATAATGTCAGCATGAGAATCCTCTGCTTGTTGACTGGGTTGGTTTTGAACTTTACCACCTCCTGCTAGCTGCCGTCTGTCAGATGCTTGTGAGAGAGAATGAGAGTTTGTCAAGTGTTAAGCGTGTTGAAGCAGATCCAAACCCATGTTGCTCAGAGTGAACTCTATACTGAGTCACAGCTGGAGCTTCCTCTGGAAGGAAGGTTACTCAA